CATTTTTCTTCTCAGGGTCCGTCTTTCAAATCGTAGGAAGGTCTGTTCCTAAGTCCTGAAAGTAGTCTAGCATTCTCCAGCGTAAGTACCGGACTTACTAAGACGTATTGCGGATCCAATACAGGCTAATCTTGATGGCTTGGGAGACTATTCCGTTCTTGAAATTCCCAAATAATCCATGGTAGCATCTGCTTTCGAAGACAATCCAACGCTGAATTTCCTGTGCAGCATCATTCTGGGAATCGACTAATGAGCCTAGATAAATAAATTCTTCCACTATCTCGATGGAATATGACCCAATATATATGTATGGTTCTCCATGGGACTCTCTTTTATGGACAAGCTTCATTCTTTTAGCTTCCCGTTGGAACTCCAAGAATACATCTTTCATGGTTTCAAAGGTTCCCTCAATCTCATTTTGTGATCTCCATACCCAAGGATCATCGTAGTTCTATTAAACATTAAAAAGGAGATTACCCTACATTTACCTAATCTATTCTAGCCAGAGTGGGAAAGTCGAGATTCATTCCGTCAAACCACCACAAAATTTTCGGACCATTTGAATCGAGGTTGCTTAGGTCTCGTCCATTAAACCTCACCTAATAAAAACTTATCAAGAAAAATGCGTTTTTACATTCGTGAGTGAAGATAATAGATGGAATTTGATGAAATCGATACCAGGCATCAGCGTAGACCTCATTGGTACCAACCCCCACAATCCCTGAATATGAAATACAATCGGATTAAAGTTTTTAAGTATTATGTCCGTCACATGGACTCAACAAACTCGAAATCAAAATTGCTCCTTATCTAAAACGTATTACGGCATTGCAAATTTTCGCTTATGAAGACAGTGGGCACAAATGAGGTAATGAAATGGCGGACAAAATTCCTGATTGTTTCATTAATCATCGTTTAACAGATTACAGCTGTGATTCAACTTAAGATAAACTTGAATCATTGAGGATAACCCCGTCGAATTGACTTTACGTTATGAGTACAATGCAATGATTGATCCGAATTCAGGAAACTATTTGTCACCTAGGATGTGATTGCGGTGAGCTCATTGAAACAACGATGTAGATTTCCTCGTGAAAAATAAGGATGTTTATTTATAATATTACGATCATGAATGTATTTCAGAACTGACCTGTCTCGATAATCTCAAACCCTACTAATCCGAAGTCCCAGGTATTTAGAACTAGAAAGAGAAAAAAAGTTAAAATTGGCTGAGGAGAGAAGGGATGAAAAAAAGAACGGCTCAGTTTCTTAATACATAATACGAAGAGTGCTTCGTGAGATTGTTTTGATATTGTAACGTCTCTAAACAGAAATCATTAAAACTAGGCGTTCACCCAGAAGTTGCGGAATCACTTTATAGGTGGATTTTATAGAAGATATGACGAAAGTGTCCAATCTCAGGGTAATATGTTAGCTGAAACGTCAACGTTTTCTTTAATACTTTTTTAAGTAGGACAACAAACCAGATTTTAATGCTTGTAAGGTTGGCTTCATGATTCCGAAAGCAGGTGTAGAATAAGATTTTTTATATTACTGAAAAATGTCTCTGTCCCCTTTTTATCAAAGGCAACTCATAGAAACGTCATAAAGTTATTTAATACTTTAGAGAGAGTGAATGGATATAACGTCGACTACCGAAGCCTGGTAATTTATAGAAATTTGCGAGATTAGGCCGTTTTGTTTTTATTAACGAAATCAGATATTCAACCAACATTATTTGATCATTTTTAGAAATAATGTTTTATTCATTCAAGTACTCTATATACCCAGTACTTGAATATCTTCAGTGCTCGAACCACGCCCTGACGATGACCCACATATTTGGGTTGAAACGTCGGCACTAATAAAAACCTTATAATGACCAAAATAATGTTTTAGTTTTGGTATGAAATGTGCTTATATTAAATTGATTAAAATAAAAATTCATATTACCGACTTTTTCTTTTTTTATGGGATATACTTTTAACTATAAAAATGTCTAACTCTGACAAATCAATAAATAGACCAACCAACCACGAAATTATATCAAATCCGATATTAACAGAAAGTATGCAAATCGTTTTAATCAATACATCGTCGTTTAATTACATGCTTCACTTAATTCTTACAAACTCACAAGAGTTTAAAATAAAATGCTTATTTTCCTTGCTAATGATACCCTTTTTAAAAAGCATATTTGAAATCCAAAAATACTTGAAAATATAATGTTACCTATGCATTACCATTCGATCGGAAGTGAGGTAAGTTATGTAGTTAACTTACACATTTTAGTGAAAAATTGAGTTGAGAGGCGGTTTTAGAATTAATGATGATATATCATTATATAGTTCATATTTTTAAAAATCTTACTTTCCGACCATCCTCGATTTAAAAAAAAAAAAAAAAAAACGCATTTTAAAACACGTCTGTTTATCTTTGCCACGATTATCTCGAACGAGTGAACAGATTTTGTGGATATTTTTTTTTTAAAAACATTGTTTTTTTAGAAACTAATGTCAAATAATTTTTTTTTGTTTATTTGGAACTTAGGATCCAAGAGATTGTAGAAAAATAATTTCAATTCTTAGCGCTATTTTAACCGACAAGTCTGACTAAAATAATACGAATTCTCACTTCCTTTATCGTTTTTTTCTCATCTTGGAAAGTCATTTTGAAGAAGTTTATAATGTCGGTTAATCATACTTTTTTTTTTCTCTTGAAATCACAAAATGATTTCTTGATCACCTCAATTACAGGAACGCCTGTAGTTAGAGAGAAGAAACTGCCCGGATTTTTTTCACCGAATTAAGCATCCAATGTTTACTCGAAGTACATTTCCATTTAACATATTACTTCTTCTCCATCGTAGTCCACTAAATTAGCAATTTTTATTGGTGATGTTTAGATTATATTCTTTTTTTTATGTCAGACCACTAGCGGATCCAGGATTTAATTTTGGGGGTGGGGGCTTCAGCCCGAAAGATTTTTTTTCATATACATATAACAATAATTAATTAGAAAAAAAGAAAGAAATTAACTACCTATATAAAATGGTTTTTAAGTGGTATTTGAAGTCCTATTAAATGTAATTACACGAACAAGAATACTTTAAGAGATAGTTTTAAATATTTTTTTTCTGTAAAACTTGGTTATATTTTACCATTTTTTTTTAGGGGGGGGAGGCTTCAGACCGAAAGATCCGCCTGTGTGTCAGACCATCCATTGAACATCAGGAAAAGTTCGGTTTTGACCTTATTCGTCTCACTGTTTGGCGGAATAATTTCCAGAAAGGATCGAAAATAAGTAAAACCAGGAAGTAATGCGGGAACGAAAGAATAAAAAAGAAAAACTGCACAAAACTACTAGGCTTCGATCGGCGATACTTACAGTTAATCCTCATGTTGTTATTTTTTCCATCCCAAGGATAGTTCGAAGGCCATTTCCGCGAAATGAAGATGATACAACTCTTATCATTTAACGTTTTATAATTATAATATAACAGGTTATTAGCAATGTTAGGCTCAAAAAAATAATTGTTATTAAACAGGTACTAGTAAAAAACTAAATGGAACAGTAACTCCTTGCTGCGAATAGTTTAACGATTATTCCAATAGAATCAACTTTCCAAAAAAAAAAAAATAATAATAGATAAATAATTAAATATCTTTTTATTTAAAGTTATTACTGAATTTCTCCTGGTTTTCAAAGAAAGACCAGATCCGAAAAATATAAGTTATATTGAATATTTATAGAATTATTGAAGGAAGCTAGTTCTGTTAGTAGTCATCTGTTCTAAATATCATGGGCTCTACATATAACCTGATGATGACCCACACCTTTGGGTTGAAATGCCGAAACAAATAAAAAAAAATTATAATGATTGTGTCCTGAATATTTATCACACTTGAATATGTATAATTTATTTAAGGAAGAGTTTTGTGTTATTTTAGGTATAAAGTATGAAACGTTTCTCTTCCGACCAGCATGTGATAATTAAAAACCTGACTAAGTGAGGAAAAAAATAACTAATAACATGCAGGAAACAAAGGAAAAACATTAATAATAGTAATGTCTCTGAAGATGGGCAAAGAGTTTGAAACGTTGGACAGAATAAATTGACATATATCTTATTTCTGCTACCTTTCTGTTTTTAAAATCGGGAATTACTACTAAGAACTTTGTTTTTTTTTATTTTTTTGTACTCAGGGAGCACTAAAACAAGTTATTTTTCTAAACTTTTTTTTAATAATAATAATCATGATCTGATAAGCTTATCTTATGGCTTGAACCTGAAATCTATGTGAATTTAATACCATCTGAAACCAATTTAAGAACAAAATACTGAAAAATCTTAGAATGCTGAAAACATAAGGAGCTCCTGGAAGTCTCAAATTGGTGGGAAAACCCATAATCAGTGTCTTTCTCTCCTCATCTCTCCCCCCAAAAAATTGGCTATTACTAAAGTAATTTTTAAGCTTTGCTTAGTTTCTTTAAATTAAAAAAATATATAAGACTAGAAAAAATTTAAGTTTACTAACTTATTTAGTAAACTAAAAATCTAAATAGATATTAAAAAATTAATTTCTTTACTTAATTTAACTGACTGATATAGTTGAAAAAAAAAATTGTCTATTTTAATGAGAAATTTACCAACAGTAATACTTAACCCCTTTTAATATCACAAGGGATGTGCTTCGATAAGTTTTTATGTCCTCGATAAGTGCAAATATATTGCAAATTGAATTATTATTTAACTCATATTATTATGCTTTGATATGTTGGACTGTCAACTATAAATTTAGGGCTCTTTTTAAAATTTATCTATCCTTACTTAATTTATGGGTGATTTTGCTAACAAAATTTAATCTTTCGCATCATGCTTTTACAAAGATCTGCCCATTTTGTTAAGTATATTTTAATGATATTATTAATTAGTTGAAGATTTACATAAATGTTCCTACATTATTATAAATATAATGATTATTTTTTTAACTTTACAGTGAGTGGACATTTAAACTGCACTCAAAAGCAGTTGATTGTTGATACTCACAACGAAATGAGACAAAAAGTAGCAGCAGGTAAGGTGCCCACTCAGCCAGTGGCGGCGGATATGGTAGAACTGGTAAGCCAGATTTTAATGTAAAAATCAAAAAATAACATAAATATTAATAATAAATAAAAAGAAAAAAATAGAGTAAAGAGCATTAGACTGGAGATTGAATGTCTGCTTCAATGTAGGTATAAACAATTTAAAAAAATTTCTTAAATAATACATTTCATAACTATCCTTAAATAATTCCGTGATTTTATTCCTTAAAAATACAGACAGTTCCTTATAATCTCCCTTGTTTTTCCCTACTTTGACTATGGTTGCTTGTTGTATGAAGGGCTGTCCCTAAGATTGGATATGAGACTGAAGAGACTCATGAATTGGTTCATAAGATTCCCAGGCATTCCCATGTTTCCTGCTTTTACACCGAGTTGAAATGACTCTATCTTACTTTTCAATGGCAATTCCTTCTTGCCATTTTCCTTTTCCAAGTCCTCGGAACCAAAAATCTTCTCTACATTCTGGAACTCCTTCTCAACCTATAGATCTATGTGTTTCCTCCCATATATTCCATTCCCTTCAGCAAAACCTTGGTCATTCGTGCTACCATCTTTTGAAACTCCTTACATCTCTCTTTATATCCATAGATCAAACCGTATTCACTAATTTCTCTAAAGAACGCCTATTAAATCTTCTAAATCACATTCAAACATCTGCAAGCTTGTAAGAATTTTTAGGCTATGTAATTACAATTGCTTACCAACAGTTAATTGATAAGAACCATTTTATCTTATTTATTTACTTTTTCTTAGTATTTTTTTTGTATTTGTATTATATCTACATCCATAATACTACATATTTTTAAACTTTGTTATTATTACAAGAGGACTTTAATCCCGGGAAAAACATTTTTTTTTCATTTTATTTCAAATAATAACTAAAGCGCTAAGTAGTGTGAGCTGAAAAGCGTTAAGCTGAAGTGTTCATAGATGTCATAGAAAGGCGATTTTTTTTTGTTGTAATTTTTAGATTTTACTGATTAGAAAACTCTGAAAAAAAGTATTTGGACAGTAAACTTTATTACTTATGATGAGAAAAATGTCATTAGCAAATTTATAAACAAAAATTATATTAACATTCTAAACATTATATTAACATTTAATTAGTATGAATATGGGGAGTGGGGTAGCTATGTGGTAGGGTACTGAGCTTCCAATGCTAAAAAGGTCCCAGGTTCTTATCCCGGCTCATGGCAGAAAAATTACTTATTCTGATTCATTTGCCGTGAAGGGACCCTGGGTAGGTAGACCCTCCTGGGGCACACCCAGCCTCTATAAAGTGGGTATCCTTAATTAAAATAATTAATTACGGGGAAAAGCCTGGCAGTTGAGCGTGACCTCGGTCAAATCATATCCTTGCACAACCGTCAACCAAGAAATAGTGCTTTCCCTAAATAGTACTGAACTCAAGACCCTTCATGGGTTGTAGGTTTAGGGTGAATGTAATGTTACAACCATGTTACAAGTTGTTATAACATTTTATACATTTTAGAGAAATATTAGCAACATGTCAATAACTTGTATTGCCAAGTTATCTTTATTGTAAATTCATCTTCAGGTGAGATGATAATGCCCCAAGATTTATTTAATACTTATTTTATGACTTATTTAAGATTTTATTAGTTTAAAATATTACACTATTACAATACTCTTAACAAAATTCAACCCATCAAGTTACATTCTGATTTGGGGTATATGACGATGATTCATCACTTCTCCATGAAACTCCCTTTTGTTTGAACCTCATTCATCAAAATTCATCGCTCATTAGAGCCACAAAATGGATCTACTCAGTGATATAATACTGTATGATGTATAAAGATAGATTTTAATACAAAAACATTATATACATTTTTTTTCAGATTAAACCGCAGCAGTTACAAAAATATTTTCTTAAATTTTTGTTTTTTAAGGACCCTCAAACATTACTCTAGCTTGAACTCCAAATGGTCTAAACTCTATACTGATGCAACTTTATCATTTAATTTCAAGATTAAGAAATAAATTCTTGTCATGAGTATTTTTTAATGAGTTAAACCTAGAAAATAATTTTAAGTGTGCTCTTTCCATCCAAAATAAAATGGTTCTCAGTACTCTGAAGGCTACACTAGTTATCAATTAAAGTATGATTGGTAAAACAAAAAATAGAATTATCATCTTGTCAAATATTAATTTACACATAAATTAAGGTGTAGATTTATTAAGTATATGATTTTATATGCCTAAAATAAATTAAATTAATCAAAATACATGTAGTACATGTTAGTCTGTGGGCCAGACCCCCTTACCGTGCACCCCCCCCACATCCCTATAAATTGCATATCGTTGTGTTCCTTGTAACTATTTATTAAAAAAAAGCCAATGTTCCCACAAAAAAAAGTGAACGCACTGCCCCAAAATGGCGTCCAAAGATGGCGGATTGACGACTTTGACTTTAGTTAGTTTTTTGGTCACTGAGAATCAGCATTTGGCTTAATTTCCTCATAGTTGGTCTTTTATTAAAGCTGAATAGTCATAGAATAATAAAACATGAAGAAATATAAAAAAATAATTGGCTTAAGCTATGAAAAACACCAGTAAAGTCAACTTTTTTAACAAAAAAATTTTCAAGTTACAAATCAAGCGTCGTTTGTAATTAAACGGTCTACAATAACGCAAAACGTGCTGAAATAAACCATCTGGAGAATATATTTCTCTTTCTAAAACGCTGATTACTTTTTAAAATATTTGAAGCAGTTCCATAGAAAATACACTTATGCGGCAGAAAAGCGGTACTGGCGTGGGTGCCTACAGGCCTCTACCACACCATTCAGTGCCCATAAATGGCTTAGTTATAGTGATATAATAACATTTTTGGTACATTATATTGGTTTAATTAACGAACAAATATTAATGCAATAATTTAAATGTAAAAAAAAAATTAAAATTAAAAAAAAAATTATTATTATTTTTTTTTAATTTAACCTCCTTTATTCTATACGTAGGTCGTTTAAGAAGACCTCAATTGTAAAAATGATATAATTATAATAATAAAACTTAATTAAAAAATACTTTGCTAAATATCTTGATTTTTTTTTTATTTAACGTTTGCAATTTAACACTGAGTTTGGTATATTTACTGAATCTTAGAGGTAATTAAAATTTTTATATACTTCCCAGGAAATGAGTCATATTAATACCTGTTTTATAAACTAAAATAATATATACCTAATCTGAACTATATATAATGAATAGCTGGCGGGTTGTTTAGTAAAACTCATATATCACTAATTAAAAAATTAATTTTTATTTCCTTTATTTTGTGCGGAAGTTGGACTGTATCATAAATAAATAGGAAATTTTAATATTAAATGAATTATTCTCTATGCACAAAGAAAGATAGAAAGGGTGACGCTATAAGTTCTTCTATAAACCAGAACTGATTGTTTTTTGATCCCAAATTGAGGAAAAACGCGAAATTGAACCAGAAAATTGGAAAAATACATTAAGCGAACGAGAAAGGAAGTGCCAAAACCTCGGAAAAGATAAAAAGGACCAGTATCCATTATATAGCTAAATGAATCTATAGTAGACAGATGAACAGAATATTTCAAGATTCTGCTAAAAGGGGTCAATTGCAGTTTGGATGATATTAAGTGGACGATGTAGGTTTATTATGGTGAAACAACTTTATTTTCGATTGCTACTGAAGGTGCACACTGGGACTATCTACACTTTGAAGCAGGATATAGAGAGGTATATCGAGAAAGTTATCGCTCATAGCTCTCCTTCTGTTTGATGCATTTGATAGAGAATTTTTAAGGAATCTTATATTAATCATAGCTCGTTATTGTTCAGAAATTTCGGAATAAATTGTTCGGAATTTGTACCATATAAAAAAAATAGGAAATTTTAATATTTCAATGCATTATTCTCTCTGCACAAAGAAAGATGGAAAGGGCGAAACCCAACTGCTTCGCACAGTTTTGAGCTTGCATAGGCAACAAGTATAATAGAAAATGATATGAAAGGACTGTATTTTTTATCTTTACAAGAAAGGAGATACTAGGAAATGTAATACCCACCAAAATCCAATCCTGTTTAGTGTACCAAAGAAATTATACTCAAGAATCGTAGAAGCTGGAATAAGAAATATTGTCGATTGCCATAGCGATATGGATTGAGAAACTCAAGTTGCACATTGGAAGAGAAGTTGAAAATTGGGACTGTCTTCACTTAAGCAGTTATAGAGAAGTCCATATAAAATGAAAAATAGCTCTCTATCTGCTTAGTGCCTCACACTTAGGATTATGCTAATATCTAATTGTCTTTCAGAAAAGCTCGTTTTCCTTTTAGATTCCTTAAAAAATCGTTTGCAATTGCACTAAACAGACTAAACTTTCTCGATATACCTCTCTATATCCTGCTTCAAAGTGTAGATAGTCCCAGTGTGCACCTTCAGTAGCAATCGAAAATAAAGTTGTTTCACCATAATAAACCTACATCGTCCACTTAATATCATCCAAACTGCAATTGACCCCCTTTTAGCAGAATCTTGAAATATTCTGTTCATCTGTCTACTATAGATTCATTTAGCTATATAATGGATACTGGTCCTTTTTATCTTTTCCGAGGTTTTGGCACTTCCTTTCTCGTTCGCTTAATGTATTTTTCCAATTTTCTGGTTCAATTTCGCGTTTTTCCTCAATTTGAGATCAAAAACAATCAGTTCTGGTTTATAGAAGAACTTATAGCGTCACCCTTTCTATCTTTCTTTGTGCATAGAGAATAATTCATTTAATATTAAAATTTCCTATTTATTTATGATACAGTCCAACTTCCGCACAAAATAAAGGAAATAAAAATTAATTTTTTAATTAGTGATATATGAGTTTTACTAAACAACCCGCCAGCTATTCATTATATATAGTTCAGATTAGGTATATATTATTTTAGTTTATAAAACAGGTATTAATATGACTCATTTCCTGGGAAGTATATAAAAATTTTAATTACCTCTAAGATTCAGTAAATATACCAAACTCAGTGTTAAATTGCAAACGTTAAATAAAAAAAAAATCAAGATATTTAGCAAAGTATTTTTTAATTAAGTTTTATTATTATAATTATATCATTTTTACAATTGAGGTCTTCTTAAACGACCTACGTATAGAATAAAGGAGGTTAAATTAAAAAAAAATAATAATAATTTTTTTTTTAATTTTAATTTTTTTTTTTACAGTTAAATTATTGCATTAATATTTGTTCGTTAATTAAACCAATATAATGTACCAAAAATGTTATTATATCACTATAACTAAGCCATTTATGGGCACTGAATGGTGTGGTAGAGGCCTGTAGGCACCCACGCCAGTACCGCTTTTCTGCCGCATAAGTGTATTTTCTACGGAACTGCTTCAAATATTTTAAAAAGTAATCAGCGTTTTAGAAAGAGAAATATATTCTCCAGATGGTTTATTTCAGCACGTTTTGCGTTATTGTAGACCGTTTAATTACAAACGACGCTTGATTTGTAACTTGAAAATTTTTTTGTTAAAAAAGTTGACTTTACTGGTGTTTTTCATAGCTTAAGCCAATTATTTTTTTATATTTCTTCATGTTTTATTATTCTATGACTATTCAGCTTTAATAAAAGACCAACTATGAGGAAATTAAGCCAAATGCTGATTCTCAGTGACCAAAAAACTAACTAAAGTCAAAGTCGTCAATCCGCCATCTTTGGACGCCATTTTGGGGCAGTGCGTTCACTTTTTTTTGTGGGAACATTGGCTTTTTTTTAATAAATAGTTACAAGGAACACAACGATATGCAATTTATAGGGATGTGGGGGGGGGGTGCACGGTAAGGGGGTCTGGCCCACCGTGTATGTCTTTGGTGGCTAAATATGGCCAAAAATAAAATTTTGTCAATAGTACCATCTATTCCTTTCAATTAAGCATAAAAAAGTATAAATTAGCTGCAGCACAGTTTTTTCTAAAATATTTTATTTCATGGAACTGTTCTCTATCCTAGATTCTTTGAAACAGTTAGTGACCAGTGTTTTGAGTTTCATAACACCTTTCTTTACAGAGGTGGAGTGAAGTACTATCAAGAAAGGCACAACAATGGGCCGATGGATGTGTATTTATACATGACCCAGATCTAATGTTAGGTAATTTTTTTTCCCCCAAAGATATCTTTTCTAGATAAATAGTAAATGTTGAGACTTGATATATTTTGTACAGGTGGAGAACATATTGGTCAAAACTTAGCTCAAGAATCAAGTTCCAAAGATGTCCTAAGTGTACCAGATTTAGTCGGAATGATGAATAGTTGGTTTAGTGAAGTTTATAAATTTGGGTATAATGGAACGTTTACATTTGACTCTGGTCATTATTCTCAGGTAAGTAACAGTCAAATATTTTAAACCTAATAAAATCCTGGATTAGGGACATATAGAGTTGTGTGTTATTTTCTTTTTTATAGGTAAAACAAGAATACATAAACTAACTATTGGAAATTATTTAAAATAATGTTATCTAAAATTTACATTGGCCAATGATATTCAACTTATCTTTTAATTCTTATTCTTATTCTCTGAGCTCTTTCAGCAATTTTAGTGAGACAATTGAATTAGCACCAGATCTATTATAAATGTAATAAATTAATACAAATAACTTAAAAATTTAATGATCTGAATGCATAATAAAATTTAGCTCAAATTAAAATTGTCTTCTTCTTCTCCTTCTTCTTAATCATTTCCTCTTCTACCGCTGAGAGGTGTGAGAAGCCTTCTTGTAGAGCCGAATCCACAACTCTCGATCCTGAGCCAACTGCCGCCTCCTCCTCCAGTCAATATCCCTTCTGTCAAAGGCCTCCTTGACACTGACCTCCCAGGTCTTCATGGGCCTTCCCTGAGGTCTTCTTCTCTCCACTTTGCTCTCCAACTCTATTCTGACCATTCGATTCTCTGGCATTCGAGAGACATGACCAAACCATCTCAAACGATTTTCCTCCATCACAGTTTCGGCTGATCTCAAGTTTAGATTTTTCCGTATTATGGAGTTTCTTATGCGATCACTCTTGGTTTTTCCTTCAACCCTGCGCAGGAATCGCATCTCCATGGCCTGAATCTGGCTGATGTGCTTTGTGGTGAGGATCCATGACTCGCTGGAGTAGGTTATTATCGGGAGGAAAGTATTTTTGTACACGGTCGTTTTGGTGTCCTTGCTCACTTCTCTCTTGTTCTAGAATCCTTTCTTGATGGCGTTGGAGCATCTTCCTGCAGACTTCACTCTTTCCTTTATTTCTCCGATGATCCATCCATGTTCATTGATATGGGCACCAAGGTATTTAAAAGTTTTGACTTATTCCAATGGATCCACTTGTTCAAATTAAAATTGTTAATTATTAAATAATTGATTATTACATTTAATTTAAAAAATAACATTTTATATAAATTAAGTTAAATACTATATAAATTAATACTGATCTGAATGAGGAAGCTATTTATATATTTATATATACACATGGACTAGAATTGGCCAGTAGTCAAAATTATATATAATAAACGTATGAGAACTTACCTATGTAAGTTGACAGGGAAATGGGGAAAATGAAAAACAAAATTTTAATGATTATAGACTATTGTTTTAGGAGCCGGAAAATATTCGTTTTCTAAATAAGGCGAAAAATATTCGTTTTCTGAACAAGGTGAAAAATATTAATTTTCCCCATTTCTCTGTCAACTTACATAGGTAACTTCTCCTAAGTTTATTATATATATATATATATATATATATATATATATATATATATATATATATATATATATATATATATATATATATAAATGCCCATTTTCAATATAAATATATACTATGAACAGACACAGATATACTTATACTATTAAAACTATGTAATCCTTAATATAATACATACTTCTATTATGATTAATATTGTTATTTTTAAAACATTGTATAATACATTGAACAACATATCTATTCAATTCATTATAATTGTCTTTATTATAAATATTATTTGGCTAACCATTGTATACCTTCAATCAAACTATGTTACATTTATATTGGTTGACACCTCTTGCTTATGGTTATTTCATTACTAGCCAATAGTCACAATTCTGTAACCATAAGAACAACGAAAATCTTGTACACACCTTGAATATTTAATCAGAAAATTATTTACATTCTACAAACAGAAATGTTATTTCCATCTCCCCCTTCTGACTATGTTTATCTACCTTTTGCTATCTGAAAAAGGACAACTGGGAAATCCTCCGCCTACCAACTTTTACTTACCTACCAAATTTTGTCAGTACTTGAAAGCCTTCAGTACTCAAACCACGGTTATTAAGAGAAAATATTACAAATGGATTATTATTATTTTTAGTTTGTATAACTTTTTACATATTTCATTGTTAATATTTTATATTGTAATAATAGTTAAGATTCATGTACCATCAATCACTATGGTTTATTATTTACCATTATCGATCGTATAATGTTATATCTCTGATTGTATTTTAAAATTTTCAGCCCTAATGATGACCCAACGATGGGTTGAAACGTCGGCACAAATAAAAAATTTTTATAATGACTGCGTCCTGAATATTTATCACCCATGTTAGTGTACTAAACTGTATCTTTGATAATAATGGTCTGATTGTGATGATATTTTATTTTTTAGGAGAATATAAATTAATAGACAAAACACCTAATTAGTAAATTTCCACAATCGGAAATGTTTTGCTGCAACAGTCCAGGGAAAAAGACATTTTTCGATTATAGTGCAGTTACTGTCATGCACAGGATAACCAGATTAGTAAACAGGTATTGGAGAACAAAAACTCTACGAAACAAAATAAGAAGCTACAAAAACAGTCTACCCATTCAAGAAATAATGGTCACACAAACAGAAACATTTAAAACAGATATAATATGCGTAAAGCACAGCCCCTACTTGGACTAGAATTTTTAATATACTAGAAATTGTGTGCTAAGCTAGAAAATAACACATTGACAGTTAACGACTATTAATGAAAGGGTAGCAGATAAAGTAATTTATTGAAACATGATAGAATATCTCCTAGCCACTTAGGGATGCTATATCAACCCAACTGGTCCAGACTTCTGTCCCTCCTCAGAATGACTGAGGGAAAAGCCAGTTTAGTTTAAAAATTGTGGTCGGGCAGTTTAGTATGTGAGGTTGCTATCTATTCAATGATATTTACATTTTAAAATAAGCTGGGACAGTCAGTCCAAGTAGTTGCCTTGCCTAACACAAACATGTGAGATTTTTAAAAACTTTTCTACAACTCTAAACAATAAAATATTCATAAAAATAATTGGCTTTAAAAAAAAAAAATGTATTAGAGTACTACCAATGGGTAGTTTCTCTATAAGTCTATTCATGTCATTGTAAAGAAATACAATTAGATGTATATAAAATTAGGTAATAAATATACAACTAGATGTATTTTTATACAGTAACAAATTTCATGAATAATAGAAAAAAAAAAGAAAAATATATGAAACATGATCAACATTCTGGAGAACAACTATAACCCAACTTTCTAGAAAAAGTTAAACATAAGTCTCCAAAAATTTAAATTATCAATATTCAGTTATAGGGAGGATCGTGGGATGCAGCTAGTAAAAATAAGACACCAAGTATGTCTCAGTGAAAATCCAATGGTGACACCAGTACTCTAGACACTTACTTCATAGGTAGAGGAGAGAATGGCCTGCTTGGCATGTTGGGGCATGTCCCCCAGAATGCCCGGTTCTGAACCCCAGAATTGTGGGTTCGATGCCCACCTGGGTCAGTTACTTGTCAGTTACTCTTGGTGGTCCTGGGAAAGGGATCGTGACATTCCCACACTAGTAAGTATGCAAGGAGCAACCTCAAGGTACCCATCAGGGATTGGCAAAAAGGACCATGATAGAGCCCACTTGCCGAACTATTACTCCATGGTTAATACTTTTTTATTCTTTATGATTGTTTCTATTCATTAGCTTCTAATTCTTTATCATATATTATCTTAATCAATTCTTCCTTCCCTTAAAAATTGCTTAGTAATATTTTAATTTACAGCTTCTATAAATCTTTTTCCTCATTTGGTACCATTATTACCATCTAGAGGTTCCTTTACAATTCTTTTGGGTCTCTTATTACATTTTTTTTTTTATATTTTATACATTTTTAACTTAGAAAAAATCGTTAATAAATATTTCATAAAATGTTTATGAAATATTTATTAACTATTGTATATCTACAACTGTCCTTTTATTTTTTAGGTAATCTGGGGATCGACTAAGTATGTAGGCTGTGGAATAATTTATTATTTCAAAGCCAATGAATATTACAGCTATTTTGTCTGTGATTATTTACCACCGTAAGTAATCATTAGATTTTAGATTTAAGTATTACAACAGTATCGATTAATTATATGAGCATTATAGAAATCAAGGAGTCTTCATACACATGTAACAAAACTAGTACAATAAAATACACCAATTGTAACATATATATAAGTTTTTGCTGGGAATAACTGCTGTATTGCATAGATTTTAGTGTTGCTTTCTAGTAGATTGAAAATTCTCTTTCTAAAACATATTTTAGGGGAAATTGGATTGGTCTAAAGCCTTACGTTTATGGACCCCGGGACTGTGAAGCACATCATCTGGCCAATTCCAAAAGATTCCCTAATTTGTGTGGTAAGTGTGAGCCCTTTAGTGTAGATAGATTCTTTATTAATAGATAGCTAACCATCAGTATATACCAACGGGGAGTTTATCAATTAATAGTTTGCCTTACTTTTTCAATGCTGTTTAAAATATAAACTAGATCAGATTTTTTTATATGGTACTATGATATAGATGATTCAAAATTTGTCTCACAGAAAGCTGAAATTGAATTTAAGCTTTGTCGAATTGACATATTTAAAATTAATAAAATAAATTCCTAATGTGGGGTGATGGTTGACAGTAGTAAATAAGTGAAGAGAAAGATTGTTGGGACGATCAGTCAAAATAAAATAGTAAAAATAAATAATTGTATTTATTTTCTCATTCACCCATGCTTCGGCCCAAAGTTCTGGCCTTCATCAGGGCTAAGAAAAGAACAATATCCTTATTTCCTTATATAACTTCATATTTCTTTTTTCTGTTTTATACTTTATTCTAAGATTACCATTTTTCATTTCTTATGTCACCTTATTTTGATTATGTTTATTTCATTGGTCTGTGCTTTGTTACCGTTATTATTTTTTATTTCTTAGTTCTCTGTTACTGTTATAATTCTACCTACTTTATTTTACTTTAATGTTCACTCTATCTACTTTATTTTATGTTAAGTTTCTAAAATTTTTATTCTATACCTTCCACCTTTTTTAATTTTAATTCATTATTATTCAATGTTCATAGTTTATAGTTTCTAATACCTATTGCTATCTGGTTCTTTTCTTAGCCCTGATGAAGGCCTGAACTTCGGGCCAAAACATCTTTTTGTCTATTTTATTTTGACTGATCACCACAACCATCCTTCTCTTCAATAAAATAAATCGTTATGTAAGACAAATTCATGTTATTTTCAAATCTCTTATAAAATTAATTTTTATTTTTCCAGCAATTGATAATTCAACAGTGAGAGTACCATGCCCAGAAGGAAACGTGTAATATGTTACAAATAAGAACTGAGCACAGTGTAAAATAAATATCATATTTAATAGATTTGATTATTAATACTTGTTTTTAAACTGTAATTTAATATAATATAAGGATTAATTTTAAATAAACACTTTTGTAGAGATTAATGACTATTTTATTTTGTTTCCTAATTCTTACGAATTCTAAAACATTATTAGTTATTAGTTCAAATTTGTTTAAGAGCAAAATTGGCAAAATCAAAAATCCTTCATATTAGAATTGGACAAATGCCATATTTTTTAAACTATTGTTTGGTGAAATAATGGTATTAAAAATAGTACATAAATAATAGAACATACAAATATTTTTCTTGATAGTAAAAAAATATATTTTTATTTCATTTTTGTAAGTTTAGAAATACATCAACAGAACCATTTACTTAATGATTTTTAAGAAAAACATTAATTTCCACAAATGATTTCTTTGCCTATTGACACGGAAGATGATACTACTTTAGATACCTTGAAATATTTTGATTCCTACTTTTGATTTCCTTTCAAACAAACACAATGAGAATTTTTCAGACTAAAGTTGGAAAGTAAAGCAAGAAACTTACCACTTTCCATATTCCACTTGGAGATAATGATGTTCTTAGTATGAAAAATTCATGTTTGTATCGAATAATATTTTATCAAAGTAGAGTTAAATGATTTAACTGAAGTATAATGGGTTAATGAAGATACAAAATCCCTCCATGATGCCCTTTTACTCTCTTTGATTGTCCAATTACTTAGGCTCTTAACCTCTTAAACTCAAACGCATCACAAAGGCTTCTCTTCTTTCTGTACTTGTTAAGAGCATTCTTCTAAGCTTAAATGGTTAACTGACATTATTTATTCCACCACAAAACACTTGTGTGAGATGACAGTTTTGACACGAATGCAGTTGTTTTGTGAGCAGCCTCTAGTATTGCTTGGTTAAAAATGCTAACATTGAGATCAATATTGTTTCGGTACTTTGTACTTTGTTACTTTTCCTTGGAATGCTGGCCAATTAGATTTCCGTTACTGCCAATGATGGTTCTTCCTTTGAGCTATCTCACACCTCATCTTTACGAGGATTGGGAAGTGGCCACTTCCATAAAGGTGTTGTTTTGTTTGCCATCTGATTTTGGGTGCCAGCCCAGCATCAGCGAAAGTGAGGTCCATTGAGGAAAAAATGTTGCTTTTCGAGAAAAAATTTGTGTCTTTCTCCGTATTCAGGAGAAAGATCATTGGTCATCCTCTATTTTTTTTTTCTTACCCCGTGTCCAAAATCAGCTAATGTTGAGCCATGGGCTATATCGTTAGCGTTAAAGTCACCCTACAAAAGGTAGAGTCTGTTTAGCTGATCCACAATTCGTTGAATGTCGGGGGTTATGAATGATTCTGCATTTGGAATGTAAATGTTACAAATAGTAATTGGTTTATTCTGGTAGATTCTGTGGTTAGAGGTACTTATTCAACAAATATATCGTTTCTGATAAACGTTCCCACTCCTTGCAAGAGTCCTCTGCAGATTAAGGATTGGGCATTGTGAATTTTCACGTTCCTATATGCTAATAGGACTGGACCTATCAACATGTGAGAGATCTAAGGTTCAAAGAACTGCCCAACACATCACCCATGACTGCCTTATATTTAAAAATATAAGAAAAAAATTTGATATGGCTCAAAGCCTAAAAGAAAACTAGATTGGCAATGAAAAATCTGTGGAAAAAACCTTAGAATTTTAAAAAATTGTAGGACTCTGTAATACAGTGGAAGTCAGAGGTGTTACCAATTATAAGGTCCAGCATTATCAGGGAAGAGGCAACCAAAACAAACAAATAAATTAATGAATAAATAAAATTTAATTGAAGGGTATAGTTTGTATCTGTCAAGATGACAAAAAATAGTGTGTCAACTAGATGTATGATATACAAATGGACTGATTTAAAGAGCTATTTCTCTTTATTGAGTGAGTGTTTGATGGTTCGGGAAAAAAGAAAAAAAGCTCTCCTCAGAAAATTATCCTTTCATTGAATCACTGAACCAACTGTTTGTGGTGATCCAATCATTGACCCCAATAATTCTGAGTGACAATGTGCCACCAAGCTTCAAGAAATGCGGAAAATATTTATTTATCTCATTTAGTTATAACAATATAATTGTTGGCACATATAAAAAAAAATTAATTATGAAATAAAAATTTATTAAATTTAGGGGCATTTGCTACTATTGTATAAATAATCAGAATACTCATGCAATAACTTTGCTATTTACATGATTAGACTTACTGTTTTAAGCTATGTAAAAATAGTAAGTTATATCCCAAAAAAAATACTTCTGTATATCTTCTGTGTCAGCTCCAAAAGAAAATACTTCTGTAAATCTTGTATGAGATTACACATTTCCTTCTTTCAAACTTTGCTATAGAGTAAATAGAACAAATCAGATTATTATTGGTTCTAAAAAAAAAAAAATATATTACTTTCAGTGAATTGCATTTTTCAATTATAAGTTTAAAAACATAAAAAACTTTTAAAACAAAATAATATGAATTTACCTATAAGAAATGGAATTTTCCGCTTAAATTTGTAGTATGGTCACGAAGTTAAATGGTACATAGCAACATTTTTCATTGGACTTAAACAGATTTTGATAAATCGACTGATTTAGCAACTTTATTTATTATATTTACATATTTTAGATTTAAATAAAACTTAATTAATTAAATAAAAACTTAAGACGATTTCACAGAAACGTAAGATTCTGATAAAAATATATTAGATAATTTTATATATAATATCTCTTAACAAGAAAAAAATGATCCGATAATTAAGTAAAAATTAATTTCAAGATATGTTTTATTGATTATTTTCGACCAATTAGCAAAAACTTATTTTAATTTGATTTGAATTTGATTTAATTTTAATTTGAACTACTGATGGCATGTCCATTTTCAAAAAGCGCTCTCAACTTCGGGTATCTCTTGCTTCTATTTTCCGATAATGTATTTTCTATTTTGTAGTTCTTGATTATAAGTTAAAAAACAAAGATTATACTTTCTTAGGGAATATACTTTTCAGACGAAATACGCGTATAGTGAGTGATTCATAATGTGTTTGAACAAATGGCTTTCTATTCAAATGAAGATACTACGTTGGCATGAAGAGGTAGGAACATTTTTAATTAATTTCCTTCACGCTCTTGTAAAATAATAATAAAAATATCTTATTTCATTCAGAAATTATAGTGGTGTTTTGTATTTCGGTTGAAATAATAATAGATAATAGCTATATGTTTTTTTTTTTTTCAGTGACTTTACACTGAATCCTTTTTTACTGATATTAATTTTTTCTTTTCAAATAATTAGCAATGAAGTAACTAAAAATGTAACTTCACATTTAAGTAATGGTTACACTGTTTCAAACTATTTTTTTAACCATTATAGTAACCTTCTCATTTTTTACTTTTTATTCGTAGTTTCGTTTTAAATGTAGGAATTTTTTTTTCGGTTTGTGTTTCTGAATTTGACTGTGTACCCCTATAAGTAGCCTTTTTTTTTCTCACCACACTAACAACACTCCATCCTCTCCTCCCCCTCCCCTTATGTTTCTAAAAATTCTTTGTTAGACAACTCCTTTTGGATCAATTTTAAAAAAAAAATTTAACCTTAAAAAATCGATTTAATAATTTATTTTCTGTATAAATCTGTAATTGGTACTTCAAATGTATGAAAACAAAAATAAGGATACAAGGGAATTCATTGAACTTTTGTAAGCTTTGTACAGGTATTATATTAGTAAATAATGAGAACAATCTTATAAGTTTTAAAAGAAATAATATAGTTTGTTATTCGGGATAACATAATCACTATGTATTTGATAATATTTTTATTACATTTATAATAAATTGATTACAGTCTATTGTTTCCTTAATATTCTATTACACATTCCAAATGCTTATTTTAATTGCAGTCTTATTACCTATATTACTTAAGGAAAATATTATAAAATATTTCTTTTGATAATCATAATAAATAATCTATGTGTGTAAAATTACCTACATTTCTCTATCATTACTTGAACCAAATGAGAAATATCTAAATTCACATGTATTTATTTTGTTTAATCATGAAGGGAATTCATATTTGTATACATGTTACATTATTTCTATTATGTTACATTATGTGTAACTTCTATTGTAACAAGCCGTTTTAAATATTAAGAGTAATTCAAAAGGAATTACTAGAACAATGAATGATTGTAAAATGATGGTTGAAAGTAAATAAATGATCAATAGTTCATTGAATTATTCAATTCTGCATTTGTTGAGATGTTTCCACTGGAAGGAAACCAATGTCGTCAAGAAATTGGTGAATCTTATCCTTTTCTGATTCATTAAGAGGCAGAATTGGTACTCTGCAGTCACCGCCAGCTAGCCCAATCATGTCCATTCCAGCCTTTAATCCAGGTACGCCTTGTTCTACCATGAACTGAAAATAATTTTTGATGTTTTTAAATACTAGCAATTAACAAGTTATAATAATATTTTATTGAAAATAATCAACTATTCTTTCTTTATAATAATTATGAATCCTAATTTTGAGGTCTGACTTTGTTATAAGCTTGCTCTGTGTCAAGAAATAATTCCGTGTAGTTTATTGTTCAATAGTTATATTTTAAAAGATTTATTGCATAATATACACTTTTTATTTACTTACAAGAATATCTGCTTTTGCAATTTTATTCTGAATTTCATTAGCTTTATGAATGTCGCCAGCTTTAAAACAGTTATATATTTTACATATTTCGTCTCCCATTATGCCGGCAAGTCCATTAATACCTCCTGCACAACCTGGAATGATCAGATTTTGTTGAAATAATGTATATTCAAAATATATGCTCTATGTTAGGAACAATAGAAAATATTGATATTCTATAAATCAATCTATGGACATTTTTCCACCAATATTTTTATTTTTATCAATATAAAAATTTAACTATCAAAAATTGATATTTAGAAATATTTGGTAACCCTTAGGAAATCTTGTCTTTTCTGTCCTATTTATTATTTATAAGGGCTTCAAAGGAAAGTAATTAATAAACTATCCCTAAATATATATATATATATATATATATATATCAGCATTCTGCTCTAGTTACAATCAGGCTATGCGACTCCAAACCTAGCTTTTCTCTCCACTAATGGAGGGAAAAGCAGAATACCAGGAGATTCCTGTGCTCATCCGTGTCACTGGTTCTTAAGCTAGTGGAGATTGAGCTAGAGCTCTATAGCATTTTAATACTTTATTTATATAAAATATTTATACGTTGAAATCATGTACTATCCATTGCTAAACATTTGTTTGCTTAATTTTCTAATACTTTTAAAACCATTTCAATAAATAAGAATTAAAGTAAAATTTAGTTTCTATTCTATTTTAATGTAATATCAGGCTTGTTAAGTTGTTTTATTAACAGTTGAGATTGTTAGTTCTTAGTCAAATATTCATTGGGCTATAAAAATGTATTATATACATATTTTATTTTAAATATTTAATGTTTTCATAACCAGTCTTAAAGTGTGTTTATCTCCCTGAACGTTTATATAATATAAATGGTTTGTCATATTTTCTTCTCTGATGAAAAATTTGCAAACAGCAATAGTTTTTCAAACTTTTATTATCAATTTGACTAGAAAATAGTTTTTGATGGAATCAGGAAGAAATATATCATTGCATTTATACTACCAGTCTCTTCAATAGTTTAAATATTAATAAATTCTTTCAGTAGGTGGGATATTGCAATAGGTTGGTAGCTTTTAGAATAACTCTCCTTTATTTTACTAAATCGAATAAGTAATTAAAATTTAGAGTTACGATTTTAATGATCATACCAGCTAGTAAAGCTCCAAGAAGGTAGCCAGCTGAACCAATCAGAACATCAAAATTTAGTGATCTTGTTTCTTGAACTGTTGCGGCACATTTACGAATCTGAAAGAACCATAATTAAGATTTTTTTGATTTGTATTGAATGGTCATGGACACATTCTATTTTTGTTTCTTAGTGTTAGCAGTACAAATGTAAATTAGGTAAATTATTTTGAATATAGTTTATTAGTAATCTAAAAAAATATTAATATTTACATCGCTGTCTTTGACACCTCGTATAAGTTCATGCTCTGCAAGTTTAGCCAGAGTTGGCGTACTTATATCAATCCCAGTTACAAATGGCATGTTATATATTACCACAGGAAGCTCTGTTTCTTCTGCCACTTTCTTGAAATGGTAAGAAAGTGCCTCATTCTGTAAAAAATATATACCAGTATTATTTAAGTAGTCTTTTAAATTATTAATTAGTTACTCAATAATAATTAAGTAGAGAATTTAAAAGGTGTATTTCATAAATACAAAAAGTGGTTACTTATGTTACGAAAAGGACAACTCAAAGTTTTTGAAGATAAAGCTTTCTGTGAAATGTGTTTACCAATGACAGATGAGTCAGTCAAAGAACTTAGTTGTCTAAAAACAATGACTTTTATAATCTATATCCATGTAATATTATTGTGAATAAAAAGGTTGCATTAAGTTGTTAAAATATATAACAAAGAAATTGCAGCAATAATCAGTGCTGAATTGACAAATACAATGGCTATGATTCAAAGAAAGATATGAGAGGATATTGTGTTAGGTGTGTCATTGAAAATTTGAAAATCTGACAAGGATTTCTCTGATAGCTTGAAATTGTTCTCTAAAAGGCACCGAATTTACACAACAGGACCTAAGGAACAATAACAGATTTATAAGGCCTTTTTCTCACAGACTTCATTTTAGGAATATCAATTATTGATAACTTTCTTTGAAACCCTCTTCTGACTTCCCTCATTCCCTCTACTATTCCTGGATATACTTATCCCCATAGTCCTCTAGACAAACCACCTTGCAGTTATATTCTTGTAGTCACACTCTTGCCAGGAGACCTAGATCAATGATCTTGATGTCATACTCATGTATGAGATCTGGAATATTATTTAAGAAATATAACATATACTCAGTACCGACCTTAGGCAATTGCAGATCTTCAGGGGGCTTTCGCCACTCGTTAGAAATTTATAAAAAAAATACAAAACCTATAAAATTACATATAATTTCGCTTATCAATAAAGCAACTATATTAGAGAAATATTGAATGAAATAAAATTCAAATATTATGTAACATAAAACTGCTTAAGAAATAAATTTAATTTTTTAGGAGGGGGTGAGATGACGTCATTGCCCTGGGGATGCCGAGTGTCTAAGGTCGGCACAATATATACTGTATGTTAATTAATGTAATATTATCTTACTGTCATCCGCTTTCTAAAATAAAATGGTGCCATAACCAGTAGGCCATCAGCTCCTGCGTTTGCCATCCCTTTTGCAAGTTGACATGCAGCTGTCGTCGCTGAAAAATGTAGAAAATGTTATTATTTCTAAATCGTTTTTCTTTATGACAATAATGTTTTATGCATTCAACTGAAAAAATTGAATTCTTTGATTATATTCCTTAATAAAAAAAAAGTTATGTTTTCTTTGATTGCCATTTTGAAGATTTTTATTAATATCTATCTTTTATAAAAAGAAAATATTAACACTGAGTGAATACAGTACATTATTCCTAATTTCAAAGTCTTATTGCCAATTATCGGTTTGCTTAATATTATAAATGTGTACATTAGTTAAGTACCTAATGATGTTTCTCTGTAGGTAAATATGAAAACTTGACCAAAACCTGATATATGTTTTTCCGGTATTTTCTCAAATTTAATACCAGTGCAGTCAATGAATTATTGTATAAGGAAATGGCGGTGACAGAATTTTTTCCTTTGGGACATTGTTTGGACCAGTAAAGAACTAAAAGTCCCCACTCTTAGGTGGTGAGCCGGATATGGGTGGCGCCTAGGTCACTTTTTTCAACTAACTATTGCAATGGCAAAGACATTCTATACAAAATTAAACTGATAAAATTTGCAATATGATTATATACATTTTTTTCGCTACTTCGCTTAATTTCTGAAATATCCGTTCTCAATAAGGCTAATTTTGAGAAAAAAAAAAAAAAATGTCTCATATTAATTGCCATATTTCGGGTTTTCGCTTACATCAGGAAAACTATCCATCACATCGTCAAAAAAGTTCTATAAAAAATTGAAGCTGATAAAATTTGCAACATGATTGATTATATACCTTTTTCGCTACGAATATCTCCGAAACTAAGCTAGTTAGCGAAGAACGGTAGACAATCAATCATATTGCAAATTTTATCAGCTTTAATTTTGTATAGAACATCTTTGTCGATGCGACGGATAGTTTTGCTGATATAAACGAAAACGCGAAAAAAGTTACCTTCTGGGCGCTTCCTCCCCACATCTGGCTCACAACCTTGGAGTGGGGACTTTTAGTATGTTTACTTCCTTACTAGTCAAAAAAAAGTCCTTAAGTCAAAAATAGTGTCCCCGCCATTTGCTTCTTCGTGGCTGGACTACACAGGTATTCCGTAAAATTAGGTTTCTAGCATTTATATGTTAAACGCACAAGGATTATCTGTCTTCATTTAATTCTATAACTCATAATAGAATAAATTATACTATTTTTTTTTGTTATGTTTTTCAACTAATATAATTTCTCGATGCTATCTCGGGCAGTTCCTTATATAACAGTTATCTATAAACAAAGTAGCACAAATAAGGTAAGAGAAAAAGAAGTGATAGGTATTTCAAGGTTATATAAACTATAAAAGGATAATAGTTTTGCAACCGTCAATAAGACCTTGTTTTTATCAGAATTCATCAGCATTATTCAATAAGTATTCATTTGAAAAGAACTTATGATCCCGGAATACATTACAATAACTAATGGGGGATGATTAAAACTGTCCTTAAAAGAATGTTGTTTTTTTTTTTTATTCATAATCATTTTTTTATTTTGGCTTTGAATATCTGGTTGTGGTATTGCATTCTATCTTTAACAGTCCACAAACAGAAAGTTCGACTGTTTTATACCTATAGTTTTCTCATTTTTTTTTTCTTTTTCTCAGAATCGATGAGATGATAAACTTTCCATTTTTTATTTTATTTTTGTTGTTTCATGTCAATAAAAATATTATTATTTTTAATAAGGTAATTGTAAATTTTATTTGTAACGTCAAAAGATTATGGGTGAACTTTATGAGCCCAAAACCAACATCATTTTCAAATATATTCTTACTATCTTATGATAGTGAAATTGCATATTAAAGGTTTTCATATGCCTGCGATGTTACAGCAACTTTTTCGTCAAAATCGGCTTACCGGAAGTGACACTCATATCTTCGATTTAACACATTTTTACGATTTTCTCGAAAACTGCTCTAAAGATATTGATTAAATTCATAATATATTAGTGTAAAGTTTTCTATCGATGGTATTATTTAATATATAAGGGTACTTAAACAAATAAAAAACCCTATAAATAAATATAGGGTCTATAATTTTTGCGTTCACCCACATCCCCTTTGTCTGAAAATACTCATTTCTGCTAAAAAGAGGATGGTAAGTGAAAGTTGTGGGATGCGCGCACCACACTAGATTTTTACCAATGTTTGTTCTGTTTTACAGGTAATTAATTAATTTTTATAGGTAAAATTTCAGGATAATACAAATATGGCTGCCTTTTTTAAAATTTTTTTTATAGTTTATACACTTTCAAATGGGTTCTTGCAATAAAAATAAATCGCAACAATTTGAGCTGAACATTTTAAATAATAAAAAAGAGGTCCTTATCTGGCAAAAAAACTTAAAAAAATAACAGTGAATCTGGAAAGCGTAGTGAGGACCGAGGATATGGCCTGAGTCCACTAAGGGGTAACGTATACTCTCTCTGCTGTAATTTATAAATATGCATTTATAAAAGCAAATAAAATACATTTTAAACTATATATTTTATTCAGAAACGACAGGGTTAGAGAAAAAAAATAAAATATTTCTTAGATGTGTGTTTTGAATCTACAAACACTATTTTAAACTAAAAGTATAAGATATTCAGTCAGATGAACTAAGTGCTTGCAGGCGATAACGTAGCCCTGTATCCACTCTCGTGACGTAGCTTCGTCCCCACCACTCCTCTTTAACACTAACTATCTTTTAACTATGTACCAGAAAAAATCGGGAATTTTTTCGTATTTGTTATTATACACTAATCTTCATTGATGAAAGAAAGTTGAAATTTCATGTAAATGTCTAGTATAACAATATTATAAATATTAAGGTGCTTTTAAACGTTTCACAAATTATGGGAAACTCAATTATCTAACTTGACTATTGAACTTGACAACGTCAATAGTGCCAAGCCAAACTTTTTTTTTTTCTTGTCATCCATTGCAGATAGAAAACATCAAAAACTACTAGCATAAGAAAACTCATAGTTTGTGAAATATCTAAACGCTGCTTTAAAATACTGTTCTTAATTTATATAATAGGTGATTTCAGTTTAACTTACATTCAGCTGTTGCTCCTCCTATAATAGGTTTGTTGGTTGACTTTCGTACCGCCTTCACTAGCTGTATCCGTTCTTCGGGGCTGATATAAGGGGCCTCTCCGTTTGATCCTGCCACCACATATCCTGTAATCAAAAAGTGTTTTATTTCTCTTCTTGTAGATATATATTCTTGAAAAAAAAATATCTTTAAAATATTAATTTATTTTATTGAGTCGAGTAATGATATTTTGCATTTTATCAATTCCTGTATTTTAATATACTATTATACACCGTTCCTATAGTAGGATTAGGGCTGTGTTGATGATCTTTATATTATTGGAATATCCCAGCCTGCGGTAGATGATGCCTTAGAAGCAACAGCTGTTCCATTCGGTCTAAATGTAAACGAAATGTAATAAAGTATATGAACTCTGAGTTTGGCATCTTGGCAGATACAGTTCAGTTTGCCTTAGGGATGGAATATCGAAGGCCTAATATGGATATTGTTATAGATATTAATATACAATCGGTATTATAAACATTTTTGAAATAGGAAAATTAATAAAGATTGATGAAGAGAAGAATAGTTGGGGTGATCAGTCAAATGAGAAGGCAAAAATAAATGATAATATTTATTTTGACATTGCCGACGTTTCGACCTGAAGTTCAGGTCAAAATAAATATTATCATTTATTTTTACCTTCTCATTTGACTGATCACCCCAACTATTCTTCTCTCCATTATTCACGACAGTCAACCATTTACCTACAATTAGGAAAAATAATATAAGTATTGATTCTCTAGCACATAGGCTCACCAAAAAAGATGTTATTTTCCTCTTTAAATTAATTATTGCAAATATAAATTATTTTACCCTTCTTAGTAAAATTAAGTTTCTAGTTTGTTTCAATCTTCGTCACCCTAAGCTTTTTCCAGAAATTTCCATTCAGCCAATTATGCATTCAATTTATCGATAGATTCGCATCATACATAGATTTATTTAACAATTCGTGGCTTTGGTTCTAGAAGATTCTAACTAACAAGTTTGTGCAAATTGAGTTTACGGAGTGAGAGAGGTCGTACGCCCTCTATTCAACTCTAATTTGGGATGGCCATAGTTAGTCGATATTACCGAAATATCGATATTTTCCTCTACTACGCACCATTAGCGGACCCAGAATTTAATTTTTGAGGGAGAGGGCTTCAGCCGATGACGATAATTACTTTGGAAAAAAAGAAAGAAACTAACTATCTATATGAAATAATGTTTAAATGATTCCTTAAGTCCTTTTAAATGTAATTACACGAACAATAATACTTGAAGAGATAATTTTTTAAATATATTTTTCCATAAAACATGGTTATATTTTACCATTTTAGAGGGAGCTTCAGCCTGAAACCCCCCCCCCACCACGTAGATCCACCCGTGCTACGCACTAAATTTTATATGAAACAGGCATGATGAGTATAATTTTTTTTTACTATGAATATCATATATAATTCCTATTCACTTTCCGAAAACGATAGTTTTAATTTCTATATTTTAAATTAAAATATCGATAGTCGATAATATCGATATTTCGATAATATCGTCTATCGATGGCCATCCATAGTTTGACTCCAATATTTTTGTTGAAATGAATGAATTCGTCCACCTGAGGTCCCTGATAACAGCGGATAAGGACATTTCAAAGCAAATTGAAAGGAAAAAAAATTATTGTTAAACGAAGTTACTTTGGGCCACGATGATGTATAAAAAGTAAATAATTGTCAAAATACCAATTATATTAATTTGAAAGGTATTGCTATCGGTTTTAAATTTTACGAACTCTTTGAAACTCAAAAACGTTTTAGTTAATTTTTTGAAGTAAATTCTCAAATCTTCTATTTCTCAAATGTTTAAAAGTTTATATTAGAAGACGCTCTCTCCTACTTCTCCCCATCCGTGTCGACGCCTTTAAGAAGTGCAGACTGTTTAGGTGAAACTCGAAACGAAGGATTTGTATACACGTGAAGAATACCGAAACTATTTGGTATCATTTAGTAAAATTTTAAAAAAGTTAAATAATCTCTTGGATCACGTAGTTATGTAAATTGAGCCGTTTTTTTTTTAAAGTGGCCTACCTCCATTTATCTTCGAATCGAGATATTTAAGGGTTTGCGTTTCAATGAATTTAAAAATATACGTATAGGATACTAATGAGTCATACTGCTTAAGTGTATTAAATTTGAGGTTCCTATTAAAATAGTAATAGTTATTAAGTGAATAATGTGCGCTTTCTTATCAAGAATGGAGTTAGGCCACTTTCAAAATTAACAACCAGATTCATTATAAAATTTGAAGGTACCCAAGTCCATTCAACATAATTTCAGATGCTTCAAATTGAAAAACACAATACTCAATTTATTTTACATATCTTCGGAAACACAATTTATGCGATTCAAAACATTTTTCAATTACAGAACATACAAAATTACAAACATTTTATTAACAAACAATATACTATTCATCTACATTTTGCGCATGTGAAATGGATTTGAAGTAGTCATTATGTTCTGGTGGTATATATCGCAATAGGTCAATAATGTCCTTAAATTTTGTTGTTGTAATTTGTCTGATATTTTTATAGAGTGGTGTCAGTATAATATTTTTGAATTTTCTCGCTCTACCCCGACGAGGTAATAAATTCAGGACTTTAAAATTTTCATTCTCATTCATTGTTGTCTTATAGAAAATTTTATACGGTTCATCAAATTTTATACGGTATTTATATTCTTGTCTTACGGAAAATTTTATTTATTCATTCATTATAAATGAATAAAACGCTGATAAAACACATCCAAATTATTTGTAAGTACTTTACTGATCAGTACATATCAGAGTAATCAGTACTTTACTGATTCTCCATCAGACTTCTTTATCCTTTTAAAAATTGCTTCTAATAATTTTATTGATACAAAATCTTTTTGTCTCATTTCATTTACAATAAAATTATCAAATAAAATTTTCATTTCCAACATTATCAATAGTAAATATCTTGATGTAAGTATAAAATAAATGGAGTAAGGTCACTTTCAACCTACACGGTTCAGTTATTGAACTAATTCTGAAAACTTATGTGTCAAATATTTATCGCATTTGCTCGGATTATAAGCAAACTGAAATGTTTTACTCATATATAATATGAAGTTGTACATGTAACCATGGTAACTGACAACAAATTGAAAAACGGAGTTAGGCTACTTTCAAAATAAACGGCTCAATTATATGACGGAGCAATTCGCAAAAGTTAAATTTTTCTCACGAGGAAAAATCGAAAAACGACTTGCATTATTTATAATTCTAAGGTGGGCGTGGTGGAAAGGATATGCAGACCAGATCCTTGGCACCATTCCTAAATTTAAAAAAAAATGTAAGAATTCGGCCTAAAATCTGGTTCCAAGCAGGAAAACGGGAAGGTATACATTTTCCTGTTTCGTCGACTTCGTATTATGCAGTTTCGATGCATAAGGAAAGGACAAACCAATAAATATATATTTTCAATATTTCTCTCTTCTTCGGTGCATAATATTTAGTTTAGAACTTATTTATTTTAAGCCACTTTAATTTGGTGAACTTAATGACTACAACATCTTATTACAACGTTTCGGCTTGTCGAGCCATTTTCAAGTTCATCATGTACTTGTCCATTTCACTTCTTATGCGAACTACATAATAAAATGTATCAAGATTGTCATATCCACCTTTAACTTATGTCTCAACCCACACGTTATTGGTCCCATTTCTATTGAGTCACTCTATTGAGGATATTATCAAGTTATTATCTTCAGAAAATGTCGGGGTTCATATGACGTTATTTACAAGAAATGGTGGTTTATTTTTTATTAATTTTTTTTGAGCAGTGAATTTATATCAGATGATGACTTTATTGAAGTTTTGGCAGGAAATTGTTTGGATTCAGATTATTTTACTTATTCTAAGTGATCAGAGAAAATAAATTGGATTTAATTTAGTTATACTTCTTTGGTATATTCAAGTTTGTAAATTAATTTATTAAAAAAAAAATTCTGATGGCTATACCCCTATTGACATTTCTACTGTTAAGTTTGGTTATGAATACATTTTTTCGGATATTTTTTTATTTCGTGGCATAACATACATTTTAGTTAACATGCTACTCGTTTCCAGGGCTGCAACAAATCCAATCCAAAAAAAAAAATCAGAATTTCCCCAATTTTTTATAACCATATTTTTTCCCTCCTTTTTATTATTCCCACCTTTTTTTCCACAGATAAATTATTGTCATTTATCTGCTCTTTATTTACATTGTTACTGACAGATGCATTCATAAATAAAAGTTTTTAAAAACGTTATAGTTTCTGCTAGGCAGTCTGTTTTCAATCTTCAAACCATTTGAAAAAAAAATTATAATTTAAAGAAAACTAAATATTTACAGATTCAAAATAGGAAGAAAAAAAATCACAGCCCTTCACATTCTTCGAGAAATAAAATCTTTATCTATTGGTCTCTATTTCTTTATAACTAAGAAAGGATTACGCGTGAATTATTAATTTTTTTAAATATTTAAAAAACTTCAATTAAATAATCATTGTTTAATAGTCCGTGGTACAGGTCCCTTTTTATCAAATTATTAACATCCAGCTGTAACTTTGTAAATAGCATCATCTCATCGTAACGTTCAAAAATTTTATTTACGAAAATTCTCGGAATTGAGGCCTCTTCAATCTCGAGGTCGGCCTATTTGTCTATTTAATTAGTTACTAAAAACTCGTAAAAACCCATTTGTTTTCCACTTTAGTCGTAAGATAACTTGTGCACAAAGGTGGCCTTAAAAAATATTAAGCCAATTGGCCTATAAACCTAGTTATTTTGACAATTTGGGGTTGTAGGTCACGCCAAACGGCTCAATATTTTTGAAGGCCAGCTTTTTTCTAGACTTTGTGCTCAAGTTATCTTACGATTGAAGTGTAAAGCAAATGGGTTTTTACGATTTTTTTCGTACTTAATTAAATAGACAAGGTACGAATGGGGTTTATATATATTTATTTCATTTAGTTTCGGTCTAAAAAAAATTTTTTTATTTAAACTTTTTTTTTTACATATGTATGTTAATTTTCTTATT